TTCCTTAATTTATGATAACCAGTGTAGAATTAGATCACAAAAAGAATGTCGGCAAATTGATATTGAAGAATAATCATACGCAAGCATGATTTTGAAAATTAAACTAGGTTTTCTTCTATGCAATGCAAAGATGAAACAATACTAATGAAAATACAAAACATTTAACACGCTGAGCGCAGCGTCAATCATCGGTGGCTGACACTGGACTTTCCATTTACGCCGCGTCAGCCACCGGTGGCTGACACTGAAATTACATTTGGACCGCGTCAACCACCGGTGGCTGACACTGAAATTACATTTAGACTGCGTCTGCCACCGCTTACTGACACTGACCTTTCACATAGGCCGCGAAAAACAACTGGCTGACAGCGTATAACATGATATAGAACTATAAAATTTACACTCTTTTATGGAATTGCAAAAAATTTACTTAATTATTGTGATTCTTGGTTTAATAAATTCAATTTAGTAGATTTTTATCCACCACTATTTCTACATAATTCGTAGGCTTATATAATTCACCACTTTTGTCAGATATGTCATGATAAACCTTCTAAAAAATAGCAAAATCCGTCTAATAATTGCAAAGTTTGTAGTTATTTACCGTGGCCAGATGGGCAAGCCATGTAAATTTAGCGTGGTGTTCAACGTGTTAAAAATGAAGTATGATAAACATCGAAACAAGGCTCGAGGTAAAGTCCAAATTTACAATTTTTGCACAAAATTCGTGCTTCTTTGCAGTTTTTTTTTACCAGTTTCAATTTTTAAACAACAAAGAGCACGCAAAATGCTGTAAAACATGTTTGTATATTTCTCAGAAATGTGGACAACTAACGACATCTTTTAACCATAGATGTGCTTTTCATCTAGATCTGGAAGAGAGGGTTGCGCAGTTAAATAACGGGGAAAAATGCATCAGTACAGAACTCACGGGTTGCGCAAATTTCTAAGTTGCCATAGAAATCGAGAGATACGCGTGGAGAGGGTTAAAGCAATGAACTGTCATTAGTGAAGATGTGAGATTTTATTCCCGCCAGCTGCTTAATGCCCATCCAGCATTAAATCTTCAGGAACAATTTGTTTTTTGAATCAAAGGTGGTCGGTGCGCAATGCTGGTCTTATTGCCACCATATGTCACTAATTATGAAATTGTTAAGCTTTAACCTCCTTGTTACTATTGGCTTCATTATTAAAATGTATTTAGCTGAAGGATAGTTTTGATTATCATAATATATTAAAAATATTTTTTTATTGAATCTGAAGTCAGAACACAGTGATTTTTTAAAGGTAAAGTGGTATGTGAAATAAAGAAATTGCAACTTGGCGCTATCAAATAAGTTCTACCACTTTAATTATAGATGTGTTTTTTATATATAAATCACTTTTTCCGGCTGGGCTATTTTAAGGTAATTGAAGTTTCATTAAAATTTTTTTACATGTTTTAAGAGTTTTCTTTTCATTTCATGTAAACTATAAATATTTTCATAAAATTTCAGTATTTTTAGCTTAAGCCTTTTTAATTTTACACCGTAATGCTCATAAGAGCATTATTGGGTTGCCCACCAAAATTGGGATGAATTTAAGTATTTTAGGTTATTTGTATCTTTCAAAAAAATTTCTTTTAAAGATCATTGAAAAAACCTTTGGAATATTATGCACTATTCAAGTGTAAGTAAAATTTAAACGTTTTTCAATAGCTTTGAGAAAACTTACAAGGGGGACCTAGGGAAGTGTGACTCGCCAATTTTGAAATAAACTAGTGGAATGTATGCCTTATGAAGAATAATTTTAGGGGGCAACATTCGTTTCGGCCCATAGAAGGTCCTATGATAGATAATAAATAATTCAATCTATAGAAAAATCGATATTTTATTACTTCAATGGAGATTATTAGTTATTGTAATTATCTCATACTCCAATTAATTTGCAATTAACTGGTTAATTAATTAAGTTGCCTATTAATTAATTAATTAAATAGCAAATTAATTCATATTAATTACTTAATTAATTTGAAATTACATACTCCAATTAATTCGGAAAATTTTTTGAAAAAATTTTTCTTTTAAAATTTGATGCCAATTTTTTTTTTTAAATTAACCTAGCAGGTTTTTCTGAAAAACTACAGATGTATAAAATTTTCGAAATTAATTTTGACAATAAATATGCATTATATAGTACGTGAAAGTACCACAAAATTAATTGGAGTATGAAATAATTACAATAGCTAATAGTTTGCATTGAAGTAATAAAATACCGATTTTTCTATATATTGAATTATTTTTTATCTCTCATAGGACCTTCTATGGGCCGAAACGAATGTTGCCTCCTAAAATTATTCCTCATAAGGCATACATCCCACTAGTTTATTTCAAAATTGGAAAGTCATACTTCCCTAGAATCCCTTGCCAGCTATTACTTTTTGATTTTTACCAGATTGGGACAGTCCCGAACTTGCCACGAAAAAAACAAAAANAAAAAAAAAAGAGAAAAAAAAACAAATAGCGTTCTAAGTAAATATTTAATTTTTCTAAAAAAAATTGAAATATTTTGTTACCTAATCAGTTTTTTTCATTGTTGTCTAGATCTTGGAAAGAAAACCAGATGGTATTTACGATACGTCGAATCCTTAACAAGTTTTCGCATTTTGCAAACCGCATGGTTTTTACAAATGGTTCTCGTACTAATGAGTACTTACAAGGGAATTATAATATCAACTTTCACTGCCGATAAAGTAATACCCAGAATAAGTACTTTGGAACAACTGATGAAAGATCAATCAATGGAAGTTAAGGCCTTTAAAGGTTTTTGGACAGAAGCTTGTTTTACTGTAAGTTCATATACAGGGTTATTCATAATTCTCTCCGGGGTTTCGAAGCATTGTAGTAAAAAAAACGAAGACGAATATGGCAAAAAAGAACATATGAAACTATTCCGAAAGTATTAAAGTATTAATTTAAGCAGTTGCCGGTAGATGGCAGTAACATATACCACTGAAGCCAGTTGTAGTAAACAAAAATGGCGTTTACCGCCGGAGGGAATTATGAATAATCGTGTAGTATTATTCATTTTTTTAGGATAATCAGGTAAATCTTTACCTTAGGAAAGTTAGCAACATGCAGGGTGACAGGAAATAATTAGAACATATGAAAATGAATTATCTTAAGAGACTGAAGCGGAAAAGTATTCTTATTATCAGTGGAAAAACTTTATTAGCTTCAAAAATTAGAATGAAAAAAGTCGAAAGTGATGAAAATAAAACAGATTTGAAAAAAGAAAAGTGACGTTGCCGAAGAAAAAATGGAAGAAAAAATAAAGGTGAAAGTATATTAGAGAAACATGAATTCCACTCCATTCCACTAGGAAATGGATCCTGCCTGATTTTTCACTGTCAGTTACCGTAATTCCCACGGATAGCGCTTTTTTTTCTTCTTTATTTTGATTTTCACCTTCATTTTTTCATTCTTAACGCTTTGTTGTTTTTTAAAATATGTTTTGTTTTCATCAATCACGTGTGAATCTTGACAGAGAGCAACTTTTTCGGTGCTCCAAACAGTCGTCGAGGTTTTTCATCTTAATTTTTTTAAGCTAACGAAGACTACGAATAAACAAATTTTAAATGCTTATTAAAAAACCACAAACATCCAAAAAGAAGAAAGCATTACTACTAGTAACATATTTGTAAATTTACAAAGTGACCCTCTTTAGCTTTAGAACAGAGCAGTAAACATAAGACAAAATTTTGCCCCAGCTCGCCCAAAGATATTTTGTGCCATATCTTTGCATCTTATTTTGTCTCACGAAGAATTTTTAAAGATTCCAAAATCTTACAAGGCTAAACACAAACTCTTGTCTCCGAAGGTATAAGTGGAACAATCCATTGGATTAAAGTCAATAAGGCGATTCTTATGTTATATAAAGCTCTGAAAAAAGCGCTTTGCCCCCTTTACCTGCGTGGCGGAGTAAAATCTTGCGGAAATGCTCATTTTCTTCAGTGAACTAAGAAGACTATAATATTATAATATATATTAAAATGATTTTGCTGCAAGTTGCAATGAAAATATTTGTTTCTGAACTTGATACCAGTTAGTTCTTGACACCTTGGCCTTATTCGAAGAAATGATTTTATTGAAATTAACTGATGAACATTAACACTGAATATAGCTATGTATTTTACATTGAATAGAGCTATGTGTTGGTCTATTTTATAAATGTTGAGTTTCCTATATATAGTATCATTTCTGACAAACCTTCTTGATTGTTAATTTTTCATAATTAACATTTATTTTGGCAGACTATTAGTTTTTTAGGTTGAGTTTGTGTTATAAATTTTCCATACAGGCGAGGCACATTGTTAAGATGGGGCGAATTATAGTCAAGCTCAGTAATCTTTTGATTTTTACCTACATGTTGGACTGGAAGAGCAGTACCTGGAGTTTATTACATGCTGCTTGTGCTTTACTAGTTACACTTTGAATATGGTCATTCCAGTTGAATTTTTTTAATTAATTCTAAGGTAATTAGCTAAGTTGTATTGCCGTGGCAGGCCCACTCAGGAGAGGGGCGCAGGCTCAGTCCATGCCGGTCGGGGAACCCGGCGAAGCCCCACCGTGGCATTTATTAATATTCAAAAAGATTACAAAATTGAATTTCCAGGTAACAGCCCGACAACAGAGTTATATCAAAGTACGTCAGATGGCTTGATACATAGTTACGTACAAGTTTAGCTACTAGGGACCATGACAATAGAACAACCAAACAAACAATATAATAAAATTAGGTCAAAGGACCCTCATATGTTCAGTAGAGTTTAGGAAAAGAGGTCAACAGACCCTTATATTTTCCTCTCAACCCCTACACACTTGCATATAATAAAACACAGGCAGATAAGAAAGAAAATTAAGTTCAAAAATTTAAGCTAAAAGTAAAACGTGTACAATGTAAATGATGTAAAAGTTAAAATTGTACCCAAAAGGGGCCGAAGCAATACAATCTAAGAACCAGTGAGTTAAAATACAATCTGAAAACCAGTGAGCTAAGATCAAAAACAGGATCATATTAAAATTGCAGTGTAAGTAAAAGCCACCGTAATAAAAATTTAATAACAGGGAAGTTGATAAAATGGAAGGAAAAACACAGTTGGACACCAAAATAGTAATTGGTAAAAGCTGTAAGTTAAAACCCCAATGAGAGAGTAAAATGAGACCGTAATGGAAAATATGAATGACAAAGTAATGATGACATTAAAATGCAATATAATACATTAAAATAGAATTGAGTAAAAGTTGAAAGTTAAAACCAATGTGAGAGGGTAGGTTGAGACACCCAATAAAGGGGGAGCTCAGGTTCCGGGTCCTATTGCCTGTCTCCAAGTACGTCTTCTAGTGTTTGTTTAATGATAGACTTGATAATTTTTCTGCAGGCAAAGTTAGCAAAACATTGATGTTTATTTAAATTGGTAAAATTTTTGTCACGAAGTGTCCGGAATCAGGTATAACTGAAAATCAAGTGGTCAATTGTTTGTTGTTCGCCGCAGTAATTGCATTGAATATTTTTGTTAAAAAATCTATTTTGATGTTCTCCGAACACTCCATGACCCGTTAAAAAATGGTTAAAATAAAAACTCGCCTTCAGCCTATTTAGTTTCGGATCCTTGAAGAATTTAAAAGTTTTCCTGCCCTTCCCAGAACTCTGCCACTCCCGCTTCCAGCGACTCATGTTGTGTGATTTGACCAAGGATTTAATTTGAGCATTAGAGCTGGGGACCTCTTTTGAGATGTTGCAGTCACTCGTGGCATCTTTTGCTGCCCGATCCCCCTCCTCGTTGCCGTGAATGCCAACACGGGCTTTAACCCAGTTGCGCCCAATGTAATCCTGCCAGAGATGTTTTATATCTTCCACCAGTTTTGAGATAAGCTTCGGATTGTTTAATGCTTGCAACGAGGACAGCGAATCAGAGTAAATGGCTGCCTCAGGATAACCCATGTCAAAAAGCCATGATATTGCCTTTTTAATTGCCACAAGCTCTGCAACATAAACACTAGAATTGTTAGTGAGTCTGATGGAGGCCGCCTCAATAGTTTCACCATCTAGTTTCACAATCATGCCAGATCCTGTCCTGTGTTCTGTATCGTTCGTTTTGGGGTCGGCAACCTCCATCCTCGAACCATCAGTAAATATTTCTAGTCCTGTATAGGTTGGAAGGGAATTACCGTAGGGCACAGAACGAAAAGTCGATGGGTGAAGCCTAGATGGAGGGCAGTCAAGGCTCGAGTATCTAAGTCTAAGTCCTCCAGTCTCCACTGCCACTTTAGTCGTTTGACACAGATATCGCTTAAAATTTTCAGGTGAATAGGCTCCACCCCCGCCAGTATCTGGAGGGCCTCAGCTACATACCACTATGGATTCTCAGTTTCATTTTTATATTTAAAGTGGTCTATGAATTTCTTTTTAATTATTTGATTTTTAAATATAATTTAAAACAATTTTGGCTACCACTCTACTTACAAATAAATCCATCATATATGTTAATTAAAATTTTTCAAGCGATAACATGCTTAAGGCCTGGTAAATTATTAAAATTATATTTACTTACTTATTTATTACTTACTTATTACTCACTTACTTTACCTATTATTACTTACTTACTTACTTTACTTATTATTACTTACTTACTTATTTTTAATTATCTTTTACAACAACTTGGGAAATTCATCTTTGGAACGATTAACACTTTCCGAAACACTAGATTTCGATTTAAAATTTTTGTCAGGCTGGACATGCTGCGAAAACCAGCATACTTTAGCTCTTTCCTTGCTTTTAAAGAATAGTGGTTGCTAAAAGTTTAAAAGCAATTAGTTTTACATTCCTGGTAGTTTATAATATTCGTTGAATTAGTGTTGCCAAAGTGACTTCACTACAACGAAAAGGGTAAAAAATCGGCTGGTGTAATAATAAGGTAGTTTGAAATATTCGTCAATATAATATGATTTAATGCCCTGACTGCTTTTCCGTCTATTTATTTTCTATTTTCTACTTCTAATTGATTGTTTCATTTTCTCTCTTAGAGTAAATATAACAAAATGTACAAATCAATAGCACACAGAATGGTTGGTCATCTTGTCCCTCACGTAGCAGATTTTTCAAAACTTCCTGCTTGGATAGACTCCATAGAAGAAGGCAAAGTTGTTTTCATCGAAGAGAACGTATTAATGAGAAACATCATTGGTGAACGTTTTAAACAAACTGGAAAATGCCTAATTCGTGCTACTCCTATTGATTTTGGATCAGCTTACATCGCGCTAGCATTTAACAAGGACTTTCCAGATGATGTTAAAAACAAGTTTGATGAAAAGTAAGTTTGATAAGAGTTTTTAAATTGAAGATATTGCTTCAGTTTTTTTTTCCGTAGAATATTTACATATACATGTTTACACTGTTATAACTGTTAATACATATCTTTGGAGGAATTCTTTTTAGAAAAAAAAATTATGAACTGAGAAATTTTAATTTTTTAACTTTCATCCTTTTTGAACAAAAATCTTTCATAACTCAAAAAGTATTCCTGCTGACGCTGAAACACTGTATTCTCAAAAAATTTCAAAGCGACGATCATGAGTAGTTTCTTAGATAAGGTATATCGAAAAAGGTCAGTTTTAGCACTATTGATATATACGTTACCGGATCCCCTTAAGAATAAATGTGATGAAAATAAATAAGTTATTTTTTTTAATCAAAAAGTGTGCTGTGTAACAATCAGTTTTCCAGTTTAACAATTCATTTTGAAAAATTATAGCAAAACGGATGAATATTTTCCTTATATCGCATGACTATTTGAGAAGGACTTTTAAGCTGATGGATAACAAAAAACATTCTGACAAAAAATTAAAAAAAATTTCAATTGCAAATGATTTATTTAAAAACAGTAAGAAGTAAATATTATTGATTTCACTTTATTCCTTAAATATTTATAAGTCAATTATTATAGGTCAGTATTTCCTAATATCCGAATATAAACCATAAAATCATCGGAAAAGTTCGCCCATGCCTCCTTTTAAGCCAATCCTATTTCAATTCTTAAGTTATTTCCATTTATTTCTGATTTAAGTCTGAATGATGTAATAAATATCATTAAAACTGCCAATTTCACTCGCTTTTTCCGGAGTTTTTGTTAAGTATTTAAAGTGATAGACAGTGAATGTATAATTAAATATTTTATTTAAAATGATTTTGGCTACAAGGATATTAGCAACATTTAAATAACACAAAGATTAATAACACAACTGAATTTTGTGAAGTTTTTAAGTGTTACGAAAGTTTAAGAATATTTGTTTTTGTAACATGCAATAAAGAGGTGGAACAACGTGGTATGTGCCTCTGATTTGAAAAGCACCACAATGCTTATTTACTCATTTAGCTAGAATAGTCACCCATTTANTGGTGAACGAGCTATAGTCGACCCTTATTAAAAAGAAGTAAATTTAATCTAACTAGCTAATGGACGGATTAAAAAAATCATAAATAATAAATAAATCTGCGTTAACTGTACGCAACCATGCACAAAACTGATAGGCAGCATAAACTGAGACAATTAAAAACAACAGTTCATTTTATTTTATTTTAGAGATTTTAAATATTACTGATTTCGGGTAAAAAATTGAAGAAAAAAAAACGAATCGTTTTCTGTTTAATGATACAATATTTAATTAAAAACCTATGAAAAAAACTTTATTTTGCTATCAACCCTCACGAATGAATTAAGGGAAATTTTT